CGCGACAAAGTTTGTAGTATGATTTCCAGATCTTCTTTGGCAGCTCGAATTGAGGTGTTGGGACTGGGCTCGAAATAAGCCAAGGTATTCACCTCTTCCGTTGCATTATCTACTACATTTTTTGGTCAGTTTAACACGTGATTAATTCGTAAATGCAAAAAATTTGCTTCTATTCCTCTAAATTTACCTTTTGTCATCGGAGATAAATGTGGATAATTTTCATTAAACATTCTGCAAGTTCTACTAAGAACTTTGTCGCACTTTTCGTGCACAAAAAATAAATTATGGATTTCTTCATTTGTATAAACATTATTTACGTTATTAATATCCATTTTAACTGGTTTTAGACTCACAAGCATCAAACAACGTAAATCAGACTTTGACGTTTATCAATAAGTCATTAAACATTTGTTTTCCATGGTACACTAGGTTAATATCGATATGATATGTGAGCATTTTTCAAAAAACCCTAATTATTTCTCAAACTATTAATGTTAGGCATAGGACATATAGAATATAAAAGATGTAAAATGAGACGAGGAAGACGACCAAGTAATAAAATATGGGGGTGCTATTTAAAAAAATGAAGTTATGGTGCTTCCAAATTTCGAAAAGTTAACGTCTCATAGTAAAGTGACCAAACGATCTAGACAGCCGTTCTCGGCACCAAAACATACTCCATCATGTTGTTTAAGTATGTTCTGAATCCTAAATTGATATCTCAAAAATCGAGTGTTCTATGATTTTTTTAACAAATGTCCGCTGGAGCAGATTTTTCTAGAAAAAATCGAATAACTCGAGAACGGCAGAATCAAATTGCAAAAAGTAAAGTTATTTATAAACCATCAAAACAGACAAATCCAAATATGTAAAAATATACAGGGTGTTCCATTTAAAAAAAATAGAGTAGGTGGCGACGTCCTTAAGAATACTTAAGTCTGCATTCTCAAATTTTTTGTTTGGCCAGAACCCCAGAAACGTCTAATGACCGGTCTCGCTGAGACACCCTGTATAAAGGAGAGGTGTAAGGCAAATTTACAAACTCGCATTATGTAGCTTCTCGCTTGTCATTACTTGGAAATTCAGACATATAAAGTTCCGGTGGTTAAAGTTAACCAAAGGACCCAGAATGTTGCGACACTCAAACCGCTACCGTAGTTTGAGATCCTCGTCCGTCTGGGGGTTTTTTGGGAGGGGTGTACGGCATTTTTAAATATGTACAAAGTGGTTTTTCGTTTGTTGTTATTTGGTCGTTCAAACATGTCTGTCCTGGATGGTTATGTTTAAACTTATTAATTTCATAGTTTTCCAAGGTCTCAATTAAGTTATTTTTATTTATTCGGTGTAATAATTGGGAATTGTCTCTTTCGTCAAATTTGTGGTCTCGGTTGAAGATAAGGTGTCTTCCGAAATTGGACCTTTGTTGATTTTTGTGTTCTTTAATTCTGGTTTTCATTGATCTTCCAGTTTCTCCAATGTAGACCGCACATGTGGCATATGTGGTAATAGGTGAAATAGGTATGCAGCAGTTGGTAACACCGTAACACTTGAAAATAGAAATTTAAATTGACAATTAGAAACTGTCAAATCCCAAAATAAGAGAAATTACTGTGTTCAATGTCCTCATCATTGTGGACCTTGTATTCGATGCTAAGAACATGTTTAAACATCCATAGACAAAAATTGTCACATTGACAACTAGAAAAATTAATGACCCAATATCAACAACTTGCACTGGTTCCATAAAATGCTACTAAAATCTCATTACAGCATCGGATGCTGTAAGGAGTCTCATTACAGCACCCGTTTGAGTACTGTTAGAGCTTTCGTTACCGTCGCGAATTACAAAAAAGTATTTTACTTGATTCAAAATCAACGTTATTTGTTTAATACTAAAGTCTCCTTCAATGAGGAAAATTAAGATTAATTTTTTGTGTCTTATTTCAATATGCAATTCGCCGANTTTGGTGAAATGACAAAAACTTAATTTTTAAGTTAAGTATATTAAAAGATTTATCATGATAATAATTAAAATATTAATTTATTTTGTATTGGCACATGTTGTGGATTTGTGACATCTCGAGTTACAAAGCATATTATTTTTTTTGCACATACATCTATTCGCTTTACATTGTACTTTTGATTTTTCACAAAAACACTTCTTGAATCCTTGACCTCCGAATAAGGACAATTTTCTAGCGATTTCACGCAAACTCAACGTAATCGGTGGGACGGAATCATTATATGTGGTAGTAGCTATTTGAAGAGCGTTTCTAGGAAGCCAATCTTTTATTATTCCTACCGAAGTACCAATTTGAAATAAATTGTTTTTCGTATTTAATACAATACCCATAATGTCGTTCGCATCCAATGGACCTCTGTCAACCTTCGGAACATCAATCAAAACGGCGGAACCCACTAACAAATCTTTAAATTTCTTCGAAGAAGTACGTTTCATTTTTTCAGCCGATCTTTTTAGGTTTTGGGCGGCATGTTCCCTTTGTTCTTTTATATTTCCGTCTCCTCCTTCTACCGTATTTTCACAAACAATACAAAGCGTTTTTTCTTCTCCGTCTAGTGCTGCACCTTCTGATGCACCTAACAATACAGGTGTTGTATCAGCCGATATGGGAGCTGAAGTAGGGTCAAGAACAGGATCGAGTTCTTGAATCGAAAAAGTTGGTTCCGCTGTTAATAAATTCTCTGTTAAAACTTGCGTTGAAAAATCATTATTTTCAGTAGCTGGAACATCTTCAGAATTGTCAGTTTCGTCAGTTTGTTGCTGTTTAAGAAATTGGTATAGGTCTTCTTCAGTAACAAGCTTTTCAAGTAATTCTGCTGGAATATGAGTAGAGTGTAGGCCTATTTTTGGCTCTGTTCCAAATAACACTTTTGTACGGTGATCGTTTAATAGTACGGTGAAAAGAGGAGTTCTTCTGAAATTGTACAAAATAACAACCAATACCCCAGTTTTTGTACCATTGTCTATTAGCCAAGCTCGTAACATAGCTTCTACATCTTGATTCGACCGTTCAACCGATCCTTGACTTGCTGGATGTCTAGGCCTACCATTAACAATTTTGCATGTTGGCCACATAGCGGTTAGTTCTTGTATAACAGCAGCCGTAAACTCACGGCCGTTATCACTTTGTAATATTTTAGGACAACCAACTTCCAGAAAGATTTTTAATAGCTCTATTGCTACTTCTGCAACTCTTTTCAAAGTTAAAGGATCCTGATAATCCGTGGTCCTTATAATGTAATAACCATTTATAATTTCTATAAGGGGTCGATTGTAAGTCAATTAAATCGACCTGACCACGATGGTTGAAGTCGCTAGACAGAATTGGACAGACAACGATTCCCTTTCTTTGAAATTTCTTTTTGGATTGACATACCGTGCACAGTTTCAAAAATTCTAGTACGACGGAAGTGGGGATGAAGTATTTGCATTTTAAACCATACAGTATTTTGTCGCGGCCTCCGTGTCCAATTAACTGATGGATGTCTCGAAGAATGTGATAAAATTCTTCCGTCGGTACTATTCTCACAACCGGATCAGTCAGATTTTCTCTTCAAAATCAAAGTTTTTTTACTACCTACTTCCATTAAATCGTATTTTTTTCCGTAGTAATACTGTTTATTTGTTCGTTGAATTTTGAACACTGGTGCTAATTTAAACTGTTCAACGGCTGTGATAGCTTCTTCTATCCTTACAGGAGTCCATAACGGCTTTTCTTTACTATCCCGGCTTTCTAAAATCGTTCTAATAACGTCAGCAAACTGTTCTTCACACACAAATGCGGTCTGTGTTTGATTTTTCCCTTCATACGAATCCATTTTTTACCATGCGTGCAATTGAACGACCTTGCGTAGTATTTACTCGGGACTAACTGGTGTGTGAGTTGTTCTAGCAGCGCCCTCTAACTTGGGACGATGTTTTAAAACGCTAAACGCTTTAAACAAACTGTTTATAAATTAAATTTTTGTCATTTCACCAAATCAGCTTAGTGATTTGATCAAATCTCTTGATTTTCTTAGTGAAATGATACTAATTAACTATCATTTTAACAACTCCAGTGAATTGATCAAATCTCTTAGGGATTTGATTAAATTCCTGTTTTTATCAATTACCTACGACATATCTAATGAAGCAGTCTGTCGAAGAATGAAGGAAGATTGTAAAGTCTAAAACCTCGGTCATATAAGGAGGAACGTGAGATGATGAAACGGTTTACAAGGACGTGGTTGTCAAGAAGTACAGCAGGATTATTCCGTACAGCAGTGAACAAGGTTGTGGTAGCGCAACAAAAAGAAAAATATCACAGAAATTTACTGCTTTTACTTGCTAATTCAACGCTATATGCTATTTGTTTGATACTAAAGTCTCCTTCAATGAGGAAAATTAAGATTAATTTTTTGTGTCTTATTTCAATATGCAATTCGCCGAGTAGCTTCGTTATATCGAAGAAGATTGACTTGCTAACTGCAGATTTATTCTTTTTTACTTCAACTTGTTATTATGTGTGTGGCAATTTGGGTTCTTTAATATCTACTACACATCTATACAAAATTATGACAATGTTTATTGTTTATTGTTATAATACAATATGCTTCATTATAATATAATTTTTAGTATAAATCGTATACATTATAAAATAAATGATAACATAAAAGATTTATTTCAAGGCAAAAAAATGGCATTTTTGGGTACCCACTTTAAGTAATTCGTAAAAGCATTATCCATAATACCAGCCAAAACATTCTCAACGGTTGGTTGCAAAATTCCAAAAAGATCTTTCCAGTTTTCGTTAAATAAACGATTCATTGCTCCACCTAGAACAATTAAAACATTTAAATCGACCTTTTAATACTTTAAATAGTACCTAAAGATTCATTTCCATCGAATAAATTCTGAAAGTCAAAAGTTGCTTCTTTTGGGTTAAATGTGACTTTTCCATTATCAACTTTATAATGTTCCAATCCGTTTTTATCAGTAAACGGTTTCAAGTAAGTTGTGTAAGTTACAAAAGCATTACCTAAAAAATAATAAATAATTTTATTTCAAAAATTTCAGTAATTTATTTCACCAAAATTAATGAACGATGGTCCATTTCCTTTAATATTTGTACCGAACAATTTGATGTCCATTTCATAATTACTCGAAGCATCCAATTTTTGTTCGACATATTTCAAAAGGAACTTTCCCGTTTGCTTATCAAAATCGACATCTTGTATTTTCATATTTTTGAAACATGTAAAATTCGTATCGATGAACTTCATTTTGGAACCTTCGCCGACTTGAATTTCAACGAATGGTATATTAACGGGAACCATACTTAATATTTTATAGTTTTTGTCGCCATTTATTATCGAAGGAACTGCGTTTTCGATGGAACGAATTAAACAATCGCGTAATTTAGGGTCCGATAAACTGCACCTTTCAATGTAGGATGCTGAAAAATGTCGATTATTGCATTAGATTTTAAGTTGATATAGTTAAACTTACGAAGATTTTTGGTGAAACAGCATACAAAAAGGCAAAAGAACATAAATACGATTTTCAAAGACATCTTGATTGATACTAAATGGTTACTTGGTGGGTTTCTACATTTTGTTTTAAATATTTATAGAGATAACCAAAATGTTCTGGTACTAAATGCCTGATTTATTGCGTATTTATTCAGTTGGGTTTTTCTGCTGATTAAATCTAAAAGGTGAAGGTGGTTTTGGATGGCAAATAAGGTTTTATCTAAAAGGTGGAAAGTAACTAATGTTAATGGGAATTATTTAAATATTTATTACCAACATTAAAGTAATAATTTATATTAAATTAATAGAAGAACCGAGATTATTATTATTTTCGGTAAAACAACATCTACCAAGTATAAAACATCCATAATGCTTTTTTGGTGCATGTTCCACATAAAAATCAAAAGATGCTCAATTTGCAGAAGATTTATGTAGTGCACTAATTTCCGCTGATATAGTAGGATTTACAAACTGGCAAAATCCGATTATCTATCACCTGAATACGTCTCTCATTTGACTGATAGTAGTAATCCCTTTAAAAATAGAAATTAGCTGGGGCAAAGTGTGACTAGGATTGAAATTAAAATTCGTAGAGTTATTTGTTTTTGTAATATCAGATATGATTGATAATAATGTTCCTGTATAAATCTACAAGATTTATACAAGTAATGAGAAAAGAGAGTCTACCATGTAATCATTAAAAGTTCAACATACGAGGCAGTATTTGGAAATTAACACTGGAATATGTGGAAATGGCATTACCTTATCTACCAGTATACAAATTAAAGCCTTTCAAATCGCCCGGAGAAGACAATATCTTTCCTGCTTTGTTACAGCAAGAAAGGTCAGAGCGAGTGTCGCCTGGAAATATGTACCGGCAGAATGGACTAAGGTAAGGGTGTCTTAAATACCTAAAGCGGGCCGTTCGGTCCCTACTCCTAATGCCTTTCGACCCACCAGCTTGACGCCATTTCTGTTGAAAACTCTTGAAAAAGTTCTGGAACGGATACCATTTGCGCTGGTGTAAGGGATAGAATTTGTCGATAAACCCGCAAGAGACAATCATCAGGACCCCTTTACCACGAGACGAAAGTTGGATGGACTAATTCGCCCAATTATCCAAGGTGAAGAACTTCCTTTCTCAAAGGAAGTCAAATATCTAGGAGTAATCCTAAACAAAACAAAGCTAGACTACACATAGGTCTTACCTATGATAGACTTCAGTTATCAGTAAACGAATTCAACGTAGCTGGATTGGCAATCTCTGGTGCGATAAGCACAACGTCAACTCTAGCAATGGATGTTCTGCTTAGCCTATCTCATTTCCATTTACATATAGAGAAAATGTCTAAAACTACCATTTATAGATTTAAGCAATATGCTCAAAATTGTTCCGACATATCCTACCAAGGGGCTTGGGAAGACATTATAAACACTGATACTGTGCTATCATTGTATTGCCTGAACGGCAGTCCTGGATCGAAAATGAAAATTCTCTAGTTCAGGCAGATATTTGCATGTTCACAGATGGATCAAAAACGACGGAAGGGGTCGGAGCAGGAGTATACTGCCAGACACCTCAGATTAAGCAAGGTTATAGCCTGGGTACGTACTGTACTGTATTCCAGGTAGAAATATGTGCTATTGACATGGGTGCTAAAAGCCTTCTTGAGAGAGGAGTGAAGAACATGACAGTACGATTTTTCTCAGACAGTAAAGCCACTCTCCAGGCGCTGCAGGCCGTAAAGGCGGAGTCGGCTCTAGTTAACGGCCAAAAAAACATTNTCAGATATGATTGATAATAATGTTCCTGTATAAATCTACAAGATTTATACAAGTAATGAGAAAAGAGAGTCTACCATGTAATCATTAAAAGTTCAACATACGAGGCAGTATTTGGAAATTAACACTGGAATATGTGGAAATGGCATTACCTTATCTACCAGTATACAAATTAAATGTCATACGTTTAAGCCCTTAAAATCGCCCGGAGAAGACAATATCTTTCCTACTTTGTTACGGCAAGAAAGGTCAGAGCGAGTGTCGCCTGGAAATATGTACCGGCAGAATGGACTAAGGTAAGGGTATCTTAAATACCTAAAGCGGGCCGTTCGGTCCCTACTCCTAATGCCTTTCGACCCATCAGGTTGACGTCATTTCTGTTGAAAACTCTTGAAAAAGTTCTGGAACGGATACCATTTGCGCTGGTGTAAAGGAGAGAATTTCTCGATAAACCCGCAAGAGACAATCATCAGGACCCCTTTACCAGGAGACGAAAGTTGGAACTTTCTTTCTCAAAGAAAGTCAAATATCTAGGAGTAATCCTAAACAAAACAAAGCTAGACTACACATAGGTCTTACCTATGATTACATACGGAGCAGCAGCCTGGTATAGGAAAGTCCGATAGACTTCAGTTATCAGTAAACTTTCACGAATTCAACGTGTAGCTGGATTGGCAATGTCTGGTGCGATAAGCACTACGTCAACTCTAGCAATGGATGTTCTGGTTAGCCTATCTCATTTGCATTTGCATATAGAAAAAGTGTCTAAAACTACCATTTATAGAATAGCCAATGATTTCTCCAGGTTCATCATTATATTAAAAAATTGAAAAATGTTAAATTGTTATGATGAAAAATATTTATTAGATTTCAGTGCTACAATATTGTTTCGACTCGAACGAATGAGTCGTCTTCAGGCACGACTGTAAATTAAAATTATAAAATAAAAAATCTTAATTAAAGAAAAATTATAATAAAAATATTTACCGTCGTAAATTTAGTGGCAAAACTTGCGTAAGATGTACTTACATACATTGGAATGTTAACAAAAAACTTCATTGAAAAAACAAATTGTTGTAGAGAGAAAAAGAAGGGAAAATTTCAAAAAATAAAATTTTTACAAGTTGAATATTAAAGGGTTAAAGATTAAAATCAATTAGAATGAAATGATATTGAAAATTTAAACGATATAAAATTTGAGAAGTTTTCGAAAAAGATATAAAAACAAAACGTAGCAAATTGAAAAATTTACAAAAAAATTAAAATTAAATCAGAATGATAATTAACAAGAAAAATTTTTTAACTTTAAATGAAAAATAACAAAACAACTGAACTAAAAATCTATTCAAAAGTGTAACATGCGCATGTTAAATAAAAATTAAATTAAAATTAAAGGATTTTGAGAATTAAAAATAAAAAATAAATGCTTAAATTTCTTTCCACAACA